TACCCAAGCTGGAGTGCAGTGGTGTAATCTCAGCTCATTGCAGCCTCTGCCTCCTGGGTTCAAGTGATCCTCCCACCTCAGCCTCCCAGGTAACTGGGATTATAGGTTTGCACCACCATGCCCAGGTAATTTTTTTGTATTTTTAGTAGAGATAGGGTTTCACCATGTTGGCCAGGCTGGTCTCGAACTCCTGACCTCAAGTGATCTGCCCACCTTGGCCTCCCAAAGTGCTGGGATTACAGGTGTGAGCCACCATGTCTGGCCAAAAGTCTTACAACTGATACTGAATTTCAAAAAATTCCTAACTGGGAGAATCATCTAGCAAACACCTGAAAAACTTAGTGTAGCAATACAAACCATACTTAGTTGCTTAAAGAAGTCACATACTGTAAAAAGAGAAGCTTTTAGGTCATAAAAGGGAACCATATAAATTTTAACAGGTAGATCAGACTTTAGCCAGGTGATCAAAGTCAACATCATTAGTAATAGGTCATTTTGATGGTATATACCCTTGATGTGACGTGAGGAAAATGGCAACTGACTTCTATGGTCTTCCATCTAAAAACTCCTAACACCAATCTAACCATTTAGAAAAACAGCAGATAATTTCCAGTAGAGAGTATTCTATAAAATCTCTGAACAATACTTCTCAAAACTTGTCAAGGTCATCAAAAACAAGGGAAGTCTGAGAGACTGTCACAGTCCACCGGGGCTCAGGAGACATGACGAGTAAATGTAATGTGGTGTCCTGGAGGAGATTCTGGATCAGAAAAGGGACATTACATAAAAACTTAGGAAATCTGAATAGGCATGGACTTTAATTAATGATAATGTATCAATATTGGCTCAGATTGTAACAAACGGGCCATGCTAATGTAGGATGTTAGTAATAGGGGAGGCCGGGTGTGGAGTAGGTGGAAACTCTGCACTATCTGTGCTACTGTAAATCCGACTTTTCTAAAAAATAGTCAATTTAAAAAAAGCTATACAAGGATAGAATGTGTTGCTTTAAATGTAAGGAAACCTTAAAATACAAAGGATCTAATTTATTCAAATATTTTTAAAGGAGGCAGAACTCCCTTGGCTAGAACTGATATACACACACATTACACTAATAACTATGCATTCAGTTATTGTAGATGACCAGGTAGTGGTAAAGTGAAAATCAGGTGCACTGGAAATTTGAGATTGGAGTGGAGCTGTAAGCAGACCTTCCTTGCACCCTCTAGGAGTTGACTTGTCATCAAGAAAAGACTTGAGGCTAGGCGCAGTGGGTCATGCCTGTAATCCCAGCACTTTGGGAGGCTGGTGGATCGCCTGGGCAACAAAGGGAAACCCAGTCTCTACAAAAAAATACAAAAATTAGCCAGGCGCAGTGGTGCACACCTGTGATCCCAGGTACTCTGGAGGCTGAGGTGGTAGGATCACCTGACCCCGTAGGTCAAGGCCACAGTGAGCTGTAATCGCACCACTGCACTCCAGCCTGGGTGACAGAGCAAGACTCTGTCTCAAAAAATAAATAAATAAAATAAAAAAGAAAAGACTCAAAGCTAAAGCCCAGTGAGAGCTTACAACTGGCAGGAGGTATAGAATTAAGAAAATAAAGGTTTTTAAAAAACTAAGTCCATAGTGTTAAAATTTTTGTATTAAGAGGAAATCTGGGCATAGTTGGTATTTTATTTATTTCTATGGGAAATTTTTGGTCTATTAGAGTGAGCATCTCATAATTAACTCAAAATGTGTAACTTGGCCAGGCGTAGTGGCGCACACCTGTAATCCCAGCACTTTGGGAGGCTGAGGAGGGCAGATCACGAGGTCAGGAGTTCGAGACCAGCCTGGCCAACATGGTGAAACCTCATCTCGACTAAAAATACAAAAACTACCCGGGCGTGGTGGTGGGTGCCTGTAATCCCATCTACTTGGGAGGTTGAGTCAGGAGAATTGCTTGAACCCAGGAGGCAAAGGGTGCAGTGAGCCAAGATGGCGCCCTTGCACTCCAGGCCGGGTGACAGACAGAGTAACACTCTGTCTCGAAAAAAAAAAAAAATGTGTAACTTAAAACATAATTTTAAGTTGAAATATTGTTTATTCTTAGCATCAAAACAACTAATAAAGTGTTAAACTTAGTATATTTATAAGTTTAATTTATTAGATTGGTAATAATTATTTGGTACTCAGGAAAGGTATTTAAAAGGGAAATAGAATTTTAAATGTAGTTGAAAATGTTGTAAGGTGTTTAAGTTCATAAATGGAATCAAAGGCACCTTAAAAGCAAGTGATAGAATATGGTAGGCTTATAGCTTTTAACGGAACAATGAGGTCTACAAGGCAAACTGAAAAAGCTTAGAAAAGCATTCCCAGACCTTCCCCACCCTATAGCATCACCAGCTACTGAGACTCATCAAGCCTCCAAGAGCTGTGTGAAGACACAGGGCCTGTCATGCAAACCCCTAAGTCACCACCCACTGTGGAAGGACCCATCTTCCGCATCTCCTATGATGCCATGTCTTGTCTTTCAGCAATGGAAAAATTTTTAACTCCTGGACAGGCATTGTAATAGCCCAATGAATGTATAGGTATATAGAAAGTGACCATGTAGTTTATTATACAAACCAGGACATGTTTGACAGTGAAAGTGGACACTGTTAATAATTATTCTGGGGCAAGGGACTTAAACCAGGATTGCCCTGAGCAAACCAGGACATCTGGTCTCTCTAGGTCTAAATGTATGGTTGTAAATCCACAAGGGAAAGTACATAACTCAGTTTCCATCATAAGACAGTACCCAGTGTCAGTAAAATGCCAGATCCTTTACTGTTCTACTGGGAAAGCACTAAGAGCCCTTTCAAATGCATGTTGTTACAACACTGTCAAATAGTCCGTTACTAACTTAGGACTCTAAGGTCTACCAGCCCCTACATATCATGAGGTTTCTTCTTCACACCTGGGTGTCATGAGACCCTGTGTCCTCCACTGACTACAAAGCAAGTTTTTTTTTTTTTTTTTTTTTTTTTTT